GGGAAGGGAAGGGAAGGGAAGGGAAGGGAAGGGAAGGGAAGGGAAGGGAGTTCGTGCCTTGGTGTCGGTGAGGCTGGCTGCCTCCTGCACGTGCCAGGGCTGTGTGTGAAGGGGCAACAAGGGATGGCCTCATGGCGAGGGGCTGCCACCAGCCCCACCACGTGGAGGAGCGTGTGGCCTGTGACAGGACACGCAAGCAGCCAGCGCCGGCCCCGTGTCCCGGCATGGCCCGGAGCGGCGGCCCYGTGTGTCCTGGCACCGCACCCAGCRGTGGTGCCCACGGCACCCAGCAGCAGCCATTTYGTGGCGGGACTCGGGTGCTCGGCAGCAGCCATGTCGTGGTAGGACTCAGGCACCCAGCAGCGGCCATGTCGTGGTGGGACAGCAAGCGCTGGGCCCWGCACTGTGCACAGCAGCGAGTGGAGGCCTCTCCAGCAGCCACCTCCTGTTGTGTCATGATGCCAAGTAGTGACCTCCACAGTAGCCACCTCACATGTTGTGTCATGAGGCTGAGCAGTGGCCTTCACTGCCAGGCCACCTCACGTGTTATGTCATGTTGCCAAGCAGCAGCCTCCATGGTGCAGTGGCCACCTCATGTGTTGAATCATGATGCCAAGCGGTGGCCCATATATCATGGCATGACACAACACAACGCCCAGGCCACCACAGCGCATTTGGGCATGAATTGTAACACTGCAGGCTAAATAACATTTACTCCTCAATCCATCAACATCTAAAATGCATTTTTTTTTCCTTTAACAGATCTGTTAAAATCCTCCTTTCAAAGCTGATTTCCACTAGCAACAGTCTCAGGGCGCACGTGCCCAGGTAACRGCGCGTGAGGCTTTAGCACCTCCTGGACACTGGAAGGGAGGACTCAAAGGGGCGATTTTGGGCAAAATTCCAGAGCTGGGCACACCTTGGAGCAGGCTGGGGTGTTTGGGCAATGCTACCCTCTGCTGGGCAGAGCCAGGCCAGCTCAGGCTGTGCCAGGTGCCYGAAGGCATCGGTTCTCCCCTTGGGTTTAACACTTTGGTGTCTGTCCCRTCACAAAGACAGCCTGAAATTTCCTGGGACAGGTGCTTAGGTGGGATGTGCATGGCATGTGCTTGAGATCTTCGAAATTCTCCTTCCAGTCCCACCTTATTGACATTTTCTTGTCACACAAAGTCTGTCTTCTTTCATCATTTTCTTTCAAAAAAAATGTATATACACTCTTCCTTAAAATCCTCTTTGTGATAGTGTCACCAGGAGTCCCAGGGCAGGCTGCAAATGAGTCTAGCACATGAGAGATATGACTGACCTAAAAGGAGGCTGTGAACACCCAAATCTGAATTTTCCTCCAACCCACACCGATGTGTTTGCTTCTGTCTTTTCCACATGTTAAATCACTCGATATCAGCAATGTCACACTGTGATTTTGGTGCTTAACAGAACATCATCTCTTGGCCAGGGAGAAGATAGCAGCTTTGAGGCCAGAAAGGGCAAGTGTGACCGTCTACCCCAACCTCTGCAACAAAGGAGGCCCAAGAGCCCCATCATCTCCAGAAGACTGGGGCTGTGGGGATGGCGTATCGAAAGCATTTACCAGCATTATTTTATTAAGGCACTTTGGCCCATGCAGCACCATATCAGTATCTCATGGCACAGAAAGGTCACACTTTCCACTCCCGCTTCCAGYGAATGAAAATTTTCACTTGAAATTGCCCCAATAAGGCAATTTCTAACTGTCAAAACTGCATAAGGCGTGCGGCAGCTTGTAAATCTAAGTTTTCTTTTCCCAATTTAACCTGCACCTTTAACATCACATGTATGTGGTCTTTTTTCTGTGATAAAATAACTCACATTTGAAGTAACTGGTAATGTAGACATCCTCTGGAGCCATTACGCTTTTAATGAAAAGTGTATGAGACACTCCTCTTACCCACGGAGCACCGACACAATAGACCATAACAGCTCCTTCAGAGTCATTAGAGTCTGTCCTGTCGGGATGAATTTAGGGAGCCTGTAATCTCCTTTGACTGACAAACTCCTGCAGAGTTATTGTAGTGCATGCAGCTATTTGAAGAATGGCTRTTTTTTATTAAAAAAWAAAAAAGAAAATCTTACGGGAAAACTTCTCTCTATAGTGGCTGTGCATAGCAAGACAAGCTGCAGTGAAGTGGCTCTGTGCAGCCGTGTTTGATATTTAATTGCATAAAGGTAGATTAAAAGAGCGTTGTTAGAGTGGCTAAATCAGGTGTGCAGAAATGCAAGGATTAAAATTGTGGGTGAAATATTAATTCAGGCCCTTTCTGTGGCTCTGCTGTGACCATCTTTCATTGCTTGGACATTATCTGCAGCTCTGCTAAGTGACCGTATCAGAATAGGGCTAATGGGCAGATGTAGCTCTGTGAGTTAGAAGGGGYTATCCATGCTACACATGCACTAAATGACCCCATTCAACAAGACCCAAATCAGTATATTGGAGCTAAACAAGTTCCACTTTTTCAAATGCCTTGAAAATGTTGGAAATTTAAGGGGGAAACTGAAAATCAACTTTTATCTGAAACATTTTCTTTCAGGGAAAAAAAGTGMCTATTTTTGGAGGAATATTTCAAATTGCATTTTCTCCATTTCACGTCAGACCTGCAAATTCTTTCAAAATATTTCAAATAAACACACTCCAAAGCCTACAGTGTTGCAATTTCCTACATACAGTAGGTCTGTGCGCCGCCAGAATCACTGTTGGCCTTAGTACGGTGTTACATAAACTACATTATAACGAGTGTAAATAMAGCAGTCACGTTCATCTCCCAAGCTCTTTTACTTGAAACCTGGCTTTCCTCTGTATACACATTACAATATTAGCCCTCCTTCACTTGCTGCTTCTGAGTCATGCAATATAAACTTCCTTTTTGAATACAGATCAAAACTATAGATGCCTTTCTGCAAAGACCGCAGGAAAAAAATGCCTGAAARCAAAATTTGAGGCTGCCAAAGGTATTTGGTGCTGGCCCTGGATCAAATCATCTCCAAATCTGGTTACTCTCTTGATTTTAGAAGGTGCCAGATCTGACTAGCGTAATAARCTCCCTCCAGACTCCAGACAAACACGTGCTTTTTCATATTTTTGGTCAAACTGGTGTTTATGGGTTGGATTTTCATGTTGTCCAAACTAGTCTTGACACGATAAATTCAGTATAAAGTACCGCAACTCAACCCGCCCTCCCCATACTTCAACATTCGGCATCTCCTGCCATAGATGCCCACAGTGAAGCTCTTTGGAGCCAGTGGGCAACTTCTCCATGACTTCAGGGACCATCGTCTGGGGCTCCACACGTGCAGGACTCACATCTTTGTCATCACTTTCCTGCACCACTTTTAATAACTGCCCATTTGGACAAAGCAGCTCCAAACCGACCTGCCTTACCCGCTCCCCATCCTGTGTTTTCTGCTCTTTTGCTAGTCAACCACAGTCAATATCCTTAACCCACTGCTAAACTCTTACATCAGTTTAAGCTTTTTAAGATGGTCTAAGGCCTGAGTTCACCTTAAACAGCTAAAATGCTGTCCAAAAACACAAGAGCAAAGGAGAGGAGATGACAGACGGCTGCTGCCTGCACTGGTTTTCCCATGGGGAGGTGGAAGTTTAAAGTGCTGTTGGGTTTTTAACTGTGTCTCTAAAGTGGAATAATCAAGCACTGATAAAGGCGTGAATTCTCAGCCTGCAATTAGTCGCTTGAAGAGCATCTGGTGCTTGGTTAAGCCCCTAGGTGCTTCGCTTGCTCAGGAGGTTCAGAGATGCCAGCCAACCTCTTAACTGCAGAGCTGCCACTTCTCTCATTTTACTCTCTGAATAAACCTGGGAAATTAAAGGACAAAAGTCTGGGTGAAATA